GTGAGCCTCTAGTCTGCCCTCCTGCATGATGCGGGCCACAAAAGCTGACCCACCCACTCCTGGAATAACTCTCTCCCTTGACTCAGCTGTTGCAGTCCCCAAATCATGATTTAAAGACTTCAAATCGCTGAGAATCCTCCAGCAAGTGACCCCTGCCCCATGCTGCAGAGGAAGGCGAAAAACCTCCAGGGCCTCTGCCAATCTACCCTGGAGGAAAATTCCTTCCCGACCCCAAATATGGCGATCAGCTGAACCCAGAGCAGAGTGGTTCTACAGCACAGTGGTGGAAGTTGTACAAGGTTATATTGCAAGTTGGGTTGGGTTTTTTTTGTTGTGTCTCTGTGTGTGTGTAGTCTAGCCCTCCTGTTCAATACCATCCCCTTGCAAGACCATGCCTGACCTAGTCTCGGAGGAACTCTGTGGGCCTCCCATGACAGAAGGGCCATCAGATTGGGGGTAATTGGGAAGCATGTTCTGGAGATGTAGGACTTCCTCCCTGCCTGGATCTGCAGGCATTCATGGAAGTGGAGGAGGATGGGGATCCCTGTCAGGAGCCAATGGATGCACATCTAACGCATGTGAAATTAAATAGTTGTGAGTGCTCTGCTAGCCAAGGCTGATGCCATTGCTGCTTACGCTTTAGCACTAAAGTTAGTATCTGTTCCCAATAATCTATCAATGGGGGTATTCTTGGAAGTTTAGATTTAAAAGCTGATTGGGTTTCAGAATTTTCTGCCTTTAAACTTATTGGCGATGCCAGTGATTGTTACATTCCTTAGATGGATATATCCCCCAGTGCTATCAATGAGAAACTGTCACCAATTATTATAGCTGCTTATTCGTGACTTCTCTTTTTAACACCCAGAAAATGTGATCACTTATGATCTTCAAAGCTAAATCACAAAATTACCTAAACTGTTTGTTTTTTTTTGTGGTTTTCCTTTTGTCATGCTCCTAGAAATATAATGTATGACTCAGTAGTTAATCTTTGGGTAAATACAGTTCCATAAAACATAACAGGCCTTGTGTGAAGTAATTTCCTAGGGCTATGGTACGATATTGACATTGGATGCACATTCCTTGTAGACTTTAATTTTACATCTCCATTTCAAATGGGAGCTGTTCATAAAGGGTCTGATCCAAGCACACTGAAGTCAATGCAGTCTTTCCATTTACTTTAGTGGGCTTTGGATCAGGCCCATAAAGAACAAGACGGTAAGAATTTCATTCATATTGGTGCATTGTGAAAAGCATTATAAGGTATAATATCCTGATTAATATGATGCAGGAAATGTGTTTGCCAAAAAAAAGAAATCCTGTTCTCAGTTCCTTTCTTATTCCATACCAGTTCCCCTAAATACCATATTTAAACAAAACAGAATCAGATTCCAGTGCAGTAAATCAGAATGATAAAAATCTCTCAAGTGTTAGAGAACAGCTTAACTTTCTGAGACTGTCTTCTTAATCTTTTCCTCATATTCTTTTCCTTCCTCCCCTTTTTTTATCATGTGATGACAGCAATAATGTGATGTGTCGAATAGTTGTCAGATAGCTTCTGCCTATTTCGTGGCATGTATTCATTTACAGTTACTTGCTGAAATGTTTTCTTTAATAAAGTTTTTCAAAAATTAAACAGTTAAAACCTTGTGACTTTCTAAAACAAAGTTGCTGCCAGTTCTTGCTGTTTTCCAATGATGTCATCTGTCTGTGGCGCCATGAGAGCAGCAAGCTTTTTAATCACTCATGTTGTTGTTGTGTAAATTTTAAGATTAGTTGCTTCTATGATGGGTTTACACATCAGTGTATTTACATTATGAATGCTGAGGAAATTGCTTCTATAGCTCATTAACATTTGATGAGTGTTGCTAGTCCAGCCTCGCATAAAGCATCTGTTATTGCTGTCGTATGTTGAAAGTGCCAAAGACCAAGTCGGTGGTGGGTTTTTTTGTTTTATATTAAAATAAAGTTAACTGTGGTGAAAACTACAACTTCTCTTATCATTGCAGTGTGCTGTACTTTACACTTCGATAAGTGGTCAAAGACGACTCCGCGTACACAATATTGGCTTAAACTGTAGTTCCCAGTTAGCAGATCTCTACAAGAGTTGTGAAACTGATGCACTTATAAACTTCTTTGCTAAATCAGGTAAATTTATGAACTGCCACTTATTTTTGTTTTAGAAAAATATATATACATACAGAGCATGATTCTCCTCTAACTTACACTGGTGCAAATCTGGAGTTACACCAGTGTAAAACAGAGAAGAGGTTCAGGACCATATATTTTCTAAGCAGCAGACACAGCTGTTCGTATCTTGAATATACCTAGACAAAGTTCTTTAATATTGCTGATTTATTTGTAAGTCAGGCAGCTGAAACAGATACTGACTTAAAATAGCTTCAGAAATAAGTTTACTTTCTTTAATATTATATGCAGGTTAAATATGGGTCTCTGAAACAAAGTTTTTTATGTCTAATTAACTTTAGGATGATCTTTTCTTTATTCTGTAATTGTAGCTTTCAAAGCCATTCTAAGCCAGCCCTTAAAGACAATCAGAGAGATCCTGGTGAGTCAGACTGCTCGTATGTTGGCATGTTACAGAAAGAATTGTGCCAGTCCATCTGCAGTAAGCCAGGTAAGATCCAGCCCAAGGGAAATGCTCCATATTGGAGTCTGTACCTAAGATAAATAACTAGCATTGCAAAAGCAGTGATGCCACAAATGAAAACTTCAGAGCAAGGTTTAATTTCCTTTCATTCTCCATAGGGAGTTTTTTCTCTCTCTCTCTTTTTTTTTTTTTATTAAGAAAAGCAGTGATTGGTTGGTTACATTTGAAAGTGATGAGCTTTAAATAAGAGTTCTGACCATGCATGGTATTTCTCATATCAGATATTTATAACTTATTACAACAATCTGTAACCCACTAACCGCTCTTTTTGTCCTATGAATAAGTGGTGTTAACGGGCCACTTCACCTTGAATGGTCCCTTACAATATGTGCTAACTGCTTATGCTAAACTAACTGTTTGACCTTGTAAGTACTTTCCCCAGACCTGAAGAACAGCTCCATGTAGCTCAAAAGCCTTTCTCTTACCATGTCATCATGTATTTAGCAAATGGTAATGCTAACCACAGAGCAATATATAGATGAGAAGGGAAGTGCATTCCCTATCTTGGGGGTTCTTCAATGTTGCCAGCCAAAGAGAAGCTAGTCTAAAAAGGGTTTTCCCCAACACCTTATACCAATAAAACACTGATAACACACTGCTTGTTGATAGTTCCCAGCAGGATTTTAGTACCAGTGCAGTAACCAACCACACTCTGGAGTTCAATCCAGGTTAAATGAAAAGCTACTTTAACTTGTAAAGAGAAGGGTCATACTTTTCTCAATACTGTGTGGTGGTCTACTCTGAAGGTAAAGTAGAATCATAGGACTGGAAGGGACCTCCAGAGGTCTAGTCTAGTCCCCTGCACTCATGACAAGACTAAGTATTATCTAGACCATCCCTAACAGGTGTTTGACCAACTTGCTCTTAAAATTCTCCAATGATGCCGATTCCACAGTCTCCCTAGGCAAGTTATTCCAGTGCTTAACCACTCTGACAGTTAAGATTGAATAAGGACTGGGAATGGCTGAGCCATTACAGGTTTCAGAGTAGCAGCCGTGTTAGTCTGTATCCGCAAAAAGAACAGGAGTACTTGTGGCACCTTAGAGACTAACAAATTTATTAGAGCATAAGGTTTCGTGGGCTACAGCCCACTTCTTCTATATGCAT